TCATTTTTGTGTAGTGTGAATTATAAAGAAGACTAATACAACTCTTTGCATATTGCATGGTTGATGCACAAACAAATGTTTGGCAACATAGTTGACATCATTGCAAAACGTTAATCGCCTCAAAATCACCTGTATCTTTTGATTTTTAAGTTTGAAAATCAAAAACTTTTCAATATAAAACTGTTTTTTGTTTTTTCACCTTTAATATGATGTAGGTATGGATGAGAGTGAGCATAGAGAAGATGCAGATGCAAATCATTACGTGAACATTTGCTAATAGTTCAGTAGACTTTGATCTCATGGATTCTTATCTGATTTGTTCACTGAATTGATTGGTATTTCTCCATTAACCTTATTGACTCTATTGCCTTAACATCTCACATACCGTTAAAATCGATTCTTGCGGTAGTATCATTGTATAAAGACCATTAATTTCAAAATTATATAAAAGAATCTGATTGGTAGTCTAATGATTTCTTGTAGATGTTTCACTTAAATGCATCTTCCAAAATCGTGAGTTATGATCATCATCCAATGGTTTTATTTCACTAATACGAAATACGGTATGCACTGAAAAGAAGATTTTTTTTTCTTGCTCTTGAAAATAGCTGTATTTATCAAGTGATACAAATGGTACCGATGATATCGATGGATCAATATTTATTTCGAATAGAACAGTCACTTTTTCCAGCTTCTATAAAACTTTTCGAGAAAAACATAGTGAAACTTTTTTTGATGTACTTGTCGACAAAAAAATTGTTAAATGAAATCAGACCATCTTGATTTTGTTTCCTTCGATCAAACGCCGTGGGTAATATCCTATTTCGATTAAAAATGAATAAAAGATCTACCTATGTTTGCCACTACATGCAGAAAACATATATGATGAGAATTAAAACTCTCAATCAGCTTCCTCTTAATATCTTTTCATGGACTCAAAATTTGTGGAGAATGAACAAAAAAATTCCTTTACTCAATTTTTGAACCATTCTTTTGCTTTTTAAGGTCTATTTAGATCTGTTCTCATTGACAGTTTCATGTCGAAAGTTTATTCTTTTTCTAAAAGTATCGTTTGTACGGTCGACAAATGTCGGATAACGAAAGAGAAGATGCTGTACGATCACTTACCCCTTGACCTCGATACACAGTCAATATCTCACCCTTGTTGATTGCTCTATGAAGATGTTCAAATTGTTTATGAAGATCATAAATAAAGAAGTTCATCTTGATCAAAATTTCCATATCTTGTTTAGATAAAACTCGATTTAGCATCGAATAAATAAAACATTTTGCGTGTATTCCATCAGATCGGAGATGGATTGGTATACTTTTGCTTGAATTTTTCGATTACACATAATTCTACATTATTCTGAGCATAGTAGATTCGACAAAAACTAATAAAATCTTCTTTCGCTTGTTTACGAGTATAATGTCTTTGAGTAATTGCAAGTATATGAATGATGTATCAAGATGATTATTGAAATTTTTAATGTTTATGGATCGAGCGTCTGAATAGAAGTCAACTCCTGCTAACACTGTTTTATATCTTCCTTGAATTGATTATAAATATCTTGAATATCTGTAAAGATACCTTTGACTTTACGATGTTGTTTCTTTGTAGCCCATTGTTCATGTTTAGGTTTTTTAAAACAAAACATATAAATTAAATCAAGTTTAATGTCATATTAAAATGTTTGAATATCATCATCCGTCCTATTTCTGTGACAAAGTTTCGAATCCACCCAAATAATGATAAAATTTTCAATGAACACAAGTTTCTTGTTGTTGATGAGTCATGACTTATTTATATACGTCGATCGTTGCTTTCGTTATCAAAAGAAGGTTTTTTTAAACATACTTTCTATCTATAAAATGATCAATCAAAAAAAATAAGAAATTATGTTCCATTTCACCGAGACCATCATCGTCAACGAATCAGGATAATTAATGTGAAGTAACCCATCATGTGTATTTTTAGCGTAGAGTCACATGTATACGTATATTTGTGTGATGATTTTTTATGAAGTGTTCCTAAAGGTAATTGAAATCAGGAAATTTGAGTCTGTCATCGATTTTTCAAGATTTTGAGTTTGATTCTTCTCATCAAAGATGAGATTTTTGTAATCATCCACCTTCTCGTGATGGCACGATGTATTGCCACCTATATTATCATCTTATCTCTAATTCTTGTGTGTTTCTCGCTGTTTTATCATTTCTTCACACTCATTATGCTGATGTACTTGTGTTTCTTTTAATTAAAGTCAGAGAAAAATAGAGTGGTCAGTCGTAGTTGTATGCTTGTGAGTCTCTAAATTGTGATGTCGTATATTGATCTAACGTAAGTATTATAGTTATACAGCTTACATCTATATATTATATTTATTTACTTGTTTCTCTTTATAATACAAAATTATCGAAACAATATTTAGTTCACTTGACTGATATTGATTAGCTGACATCGAACTTGCCGCACATCAGTGGATGTTAGTGTATTCTATTGTTTGCAGTCTACAATTACATCGACTCTCGTACCCACATCCTGTATACTAGGATTTTCAATTAATGACTTATTAACTGTTTAGCTGACCGAGAATAGCTTTGGCCAAGTTTCGTGTCTTAGTTATAACTGTGACAACATTGCTTGTGGAAGTTATAACTTCAGCACAATACATATACTTTTATTTTCTCTTTTTTGATAAACATACATCTTATATCTCACTTATCTTTATAACTATCGTATACGAGAAGGTTGGAAGACACAAAAAACTAAACAATTAATGATCGAAATATTTATCTTTATTGTTTTTCAGATTCATTTGCGAGTGTCTCGGACGTCACATGCATCGAGTGTGATGGAGTGACGTTAGAGTGCAGAGCAAAATAGTATGAACGTATAGATGATGCAAATATACAAATAATTTTGCAACTCACTGTATATTTACCGTGTGCAAAAGAGTTGACACACAACCTATTTGGTTTTGATAAATATGGTACGATAATATACTCACGATAAGAAAAACAATAAAGCATAAGAAATGATGTATATCTAACATTGTTTCTTTTGGTCTTCTATAAATAAGGATCCATTTTTTATTTATTACTATATACAGAGAACACGATTTATTAAAAACAAAAAGACAACATGTTCTACTGCGTAGTTTTTGCTATTATTATAACTGCTGTGAATGGTAAACCAACAACATCATTGAAAAATGAACCAGAACGTTGTTGTATACCAACACAATTTAGTTCACAATTAAGTACAGCAACTAGTATGGTATTTCCAGATGGTACTACATTCGCTTCATATGTAAATAGTTTGTTCCTAAAATAGTTATACTTCAATCTGTATTCGATTTATTGAATAAATAGGCATATTATAATTTTTCATATGATTCAGATCGTGGTCTAGTTGGAATGAAAGGTGTATCATTTTCGGTACCAAATCAACAGAAATCAGATGTATGGATAATTGAAAATATGAATGATGGACAAATTTATGTCATAGATGAAGATGCAAAAAAATGTTATAAATCAACAATGCCAATTAAACCATTTCATTGTATACCAGGTATATAAAACCTGATCTTTGCTCATTTATGTTTAAGAATACGACTATTTTTTTTTATTTCATTATAGATACAGCAACTTATGTACATTCATTTACATATGGGTATGGTGACAAAAAAATTATTGGTGACACATGGCGTATACAAAAGGACGAAGCAGTGGATTATGTAACAGTTAGTCGTGATGGTCGTTGTATTCTATTGACTGACAATACTTTCTTTCAAAACCCTAGTAAGTAGATAGATAAGTTTATGTTCTCAATAGGATTTCCTCTTTGATAATTTTAGCTGTGGTAGATGCCATGACAACAACAGATTTTGTAGCACAAATTGATGATCCAAGTATATTTGATATACCGGCAGAATGTAAAAATGCCATTTAGCTTGTACTTTACCTTCCGAAAACAGACACATACATTCACATAAAAATTCCTTCTACGTTTGGTTTTTTTTTATATGTAATTTTCAAAATGAATCCAAACTTTGCATGTAACTATAATAGATAATAATTACTATCTGCAAATCCATTAAAATCATAAGCGTCTGGATATGGTTGTGGGTGTGGATGTAAGAATGAGTAAGTAGACCACCCACACCCATCTTTATCAGGAAAACAAATTTCAACGCAGTTGGGGGTAAAGTATAATAAAGATATTCAAATTTTTTATTGTCAAGATATTTATGGAGCCTTCAGTGTCGTGCTACTGATGATAATTATAAAAAACTAACGATATTATGAGTATTTTGTCGAAGAATTAGTCGCAATACTTGTTCAATCCATTCTTTGTACTACATTTGATCAATGACGAATTATATCTTTAAATTAATCTAAAAAGGATCAGTAATGATACTTCTTCACTTTAATTACATCTTTACACTGTTTGGTGTAATTTATGCACACATAGTACTGCGTGTAGATGAGGGAGCTGTGATTAGAGTAAAGAAGAATCCTTCTAAAATGTGAAAAATCAAGTTTGATCTGTAAGCTCAAATTCATTGAACTTCTTCATGATACTTTCAGGAAAGACACATTAATTCGAGTAACTACCTACGACTGTATGAAAGCGTTTCACAACCAACACATCTAATGAATTGATTATTATTTTTTTTCATATTGGCAAATTCTTCTGTAGCTGCTAAGTTTAAACAAGTTCTTAAAGATGCTATTGCTACCGAAGGCGACATCTCAGCTGATTCGAAATGATTATTCAGATTTTGTAAATTTGTCTTTCCTTTTTTTTTGCTTTTTCTCACGTGCCTAAGAAAAGGTGATAAAGCTTTCTTCCGTTCTGCTTTTAGTTTGAGTCACAGATCAAAATACTTTGTTTTTTCACAAACGCATATGATTATTCATATCCTTCTTAGTAATTGTGTTTCAAAAAGTTTTCATTATAGAATATAATTATTTTCTCATTATCAAACAACATTAAAATGTCTATTGAGACATTACCCGTAGAATTATTCCATTGTATTTTGGATAATCTTGACACAGAAACAATCGTTTTCTCAGTTCGACATGTATGTCGATTATTTCGATCGTTTGTTAAAACTTATGATCGATATATTGTGAATTTAATTTCGATTTCAAAACGAAATTATTATCTTCTTTGTCGATTAATCAATCCACATCATGTTATATCATTGAAACTTGCAAACGAAGAACGAACAACAAATCAAATAGATTTGTTTATTTCACTTGTTCGTCTTCGTCAATTTACTCGACTTCATTCAATAACTCTTCTTAATATTAAGGAATATCAATTAAATTTTATTTTGAAACGAATTAATCTTAATTTACTTACTTCATTTTCGTTCAATATTAACAGATACGATGACAGACGTATTAAAACAACAAATAAATACCTTAGATCAATCGTCTCTCAATTGAATTTTCGAAAAATGGAATTTAATTTAAATACTGAGAGATTATCGAAATTTTCATGGCCATATAATTGTTCAATTCAATATTTAGTTGTAAATGAAAATATAACTATGGATAATCTTTCGATTATATTTCAATGTTCTCCTCATTTGCACAAAATTATTTTGAAACAGAAGCTTGAAGAAAATATCGTCACAAATGTATCATTAAAATCTACGCCTCAAATATATTTTCCACAGTTGACATCATTAACTATGGAGAAACTTCCTATAACCATCGCCATATTGGAATCATTTCTTTCATTGACACCATCACTTGTATATTTAAAACTCATTGGTGAACATTTTATGTTTGATGGAAAACGATGGGAACAATTTATTGAAATAAATCTACTTAATTTAGATAAATTTGAATTTTATCTTGATTATTGGAGTTTAGAGAAGAAAACTTCAGCAGATCTTGAATTAATTATTGCATCTTTTCGAACTCCATTTTGGATTGAACACAAAAAATGGTTTGTTACTTGTGCATGTAATATCAAACGATCACAAACCATTTATCTTTACTCAGAACCCATATGCAAATCTTGTTTAAATTACGATGTAGAATTGCATCAAAATTCACTTTTCAATTATACTACGACGATGAACAATCATCAATGCATAAAAAATGATGTCAATTCCTTCAATCTATCTTTAAATAAAGTATTAGCCAATTATATAGACGAGAAAGTATGTTATTCGACTAGAATTATGCATTTCAATACACATAAAACAGCATGCAATGAGAATTTAGTTTTTCTTCGTTTATCATATATCGGAATAGCAAATGAACCAGCGTTTTATTTTTCGTCCTTCTCAGTCAGTTCTCGTTAACATTATCAATCAAAATAAAATAACAAAGATTAAAAGACTATCCTCAAACCTGCAAAGCACTGAAACTTTTAAATGCCTGACTAATAGGTATAGATATCCATCTCTTTATACACACGTGCTAATACGAGCAGTAATTGTATCAACCATAAGGGCTGACGTAAATATCACTAGAAATCCATCGATGATAATGAAAAATACTAAAGCAGACACAAATAGATATCGAATGAATATTAACTATCTGTATCAAAGAGTTCATATTTTTCATACTAAAAGCATACCTTATTATCTCAGTTTATTCTATTCGTAGATAGGATTAGATTTTATCAAGTTCTTTAAAAAGTAGATGGATTCGGTTAGATTCACTATCAATTCTGAAAAACTCAGAAATTTCATCGAATATCATCGAAATCCATTGCCTTTAAAAGAACTTTATAAACTCTGACACTATGTGAAAATAGAATAAATTCAGATAAAAAAAATTTTGATAGACAAGAATTCTGTATTTATGTTAACTACATAATGTCTTACACAACACAAACAATTTCATATTTTCAACGTACTTGAATATTTCATTCATTATTTACTGAATGTAGTTTTGCTCTTTATTATGAAACAATCTGCCTTATTTTTTTTGACACTGTCGTGCAACCTCGGAAGAAATGATTTTTGAGATTAAAGATACTGTAATTCCTGATGGAGAAAAGAATGTTCTATCTTTCTATGCTATTTAATCATACATCAACGAATATCATAATAATAAATGTGCCATATTTTTTGAATAACTTTTGATAGAAACAGAATAGAGAGAGTGGCACTTTTCAATGGTTGAGAGAGAGGAGATAAAGCTACATCAAATCGTGTATGATAGATTTTTTCTTTCATATGGCCTAATGCTTGTTTAATCAGTTTTCTAAATATGGAGAAAATGGTTTTGTTATTAAAAAGGAACAGTTAAAATTTCGTCGCGTTATCTAAACTAAAATAGTAACTGCATTTGAATACTTTCAGAAATCAACGACGAGTCAAATTATGTTTTCAAATGTAACTAAAGTCAATCTTCACTTTAACGAAGAGTGGCCATTACTCCCTCTTGAATATCTTTCTATTTTCATCGATATTTCTCGACTAGTTCAAATGACATTGTTTAGCTCTTATTTTACCGCATACAGTCAAAATGTGTTAGTGGACATTCGTCAATTCATTGAACAAGCTCATAATCTTTCTGCACTAATTATTCAAACTGGTATGTATAGATACAATTTAAATTTGGCAATAGAAAAGATACACGGTATTATTCCATATCATGTAAAATATTTGCGAATACCAATCAACAATACAGATCAAATACAAACAATCCTCAATCGATGCAATCATTTGACAACAATCGCATTTGATATTAGATATTCAAATTTCTCTGAAGAAATCATTAAATGGTTTGATGATAATACTATGAATTCCACATGTTGGAAAGATTATAAAATGGTTTCTGTATGGCTTGGCGCAAGAAAGATTCAATCAACTGAAATTAATCATGATCAAAAACGCATGAAAATTTCGTAGAAACGACTCAGAACTTTAACATATTGCGTTTCATTAACTTTCAATAATTAAGAATTCAGAAAATTATTTTTAAATTTAATAAAGTTGAACGTTACAATCTCATATGATATGGTCATTGTCTTCTTGAAATATCATTGTTTTTAAATATGTAACAAGTTGTTTTCAGTTTCTGAACTTACCAATATCAATGATGGGAGATTCAAACCATTTATACAGTAAAACATTTACTAATGAATATCTTCTAATTATGGGTGTGGGTGTGGATATTAATTTGCATGTGGTTGTTAATGACGAGATCGCCATCTATACCCCACACCTGGTTTTCGATAACTGATTATCCTCATATCTTTTGAACTCGAGAATCAACACTTGATCTGTGACAACTAGACATCGGCGTGACCAATATTTTTTGGTCACGGTTATGATAGTCACGCCAGTCTCGATTGGAACGGCTATTTTCTTTTTCTCAAAATAGTGTACCCTTCCCTCCCAGTAGGAGGCTCCTATATTAGAAGATTTTCCATCATAGAAGATCCCTTGGAGAAAATATGTGTGATACTTAATATAAGACCTCATTCAATTAATTAATTTGTCGAAAAATGACAACTTCAGTTACTGGATTTACACCATAATATGCCTAGTTTTCAGAAATTTGAGCTGAAAACCTCAACTGAGTGTTTTCAAATTTTTATCTAGGCTTTTAAAATCCTAAAAACTCTTTCTCAACGCCTCAAAATTGCTTTGGCTTTCTGAAGAATCTTTTTAGTTAAAAAACTGTAAAAACAAAAGAGACACAACAAAAGATCTCCTGGAAAACTTTTGCGGGTGGACAAAATAGAAAACCTTGGACCTTCTCGTGCGGAGGGGCCAGAAGTAATATAATAGACAAACGAACAATATTACTTATGAAAAAAATTGATCAATTTATGTTTTGGAGAAAAAATCTTAAAGTTCTTGAAACTTTATTTGGCCAAAGTTTGAATGAAAATGAGCGAAATCAGAACAAATGGAAAAATGATCAATCATCAAATAAGACATCTGATAAAAGTCAAAAAAGTCGAAAATATATGAAAATGACATTATTCTTGTTTTAGAAGACGGTAATATTTTTTATTGGTACATTCTTTTCTAAAGTATTTCTGTGCGAACTGTTTAAAATATATTAATACTGAGAAAATTTTTTCTGGTATTGTGGTTGTATTTATTCTATTTGTTCGTATTGAGTTTGCACAATTATATAAGGATATTGATACATATTGAAAGAGTACTAAATATGATATTCAATTCTCTAATGAAGTTTGAAAATAACTGTCATATAGTTACATTGAAATTTTATTGTGACTGACCGTGACTAGGTTTTGACCATGATCACGTCACGGCGATCATGCCGATGTCTAGTGACAACAACGAATTAGAGAGAAATTAATTTCAATTATGGTTTATTTCCTTCCATATCGAATGAATACTCGGACTTACGACTCGAAAAAGAAATCAAGCACTCTCTACATTTATGAAATCAACCATGGACAGGGCAGTTCGTCATCATTTTTTTCTTGTAATCTCGAGTACAAAATCATGCTCTCTTTGTAAGTGTCATTTAATAGTTGCCTTTTACAACGGTACTTTCACTTGGATCGTATTCTAACTTGAGACTTGAATATGGCTCTATGAAGTTGCAAGTACTTTGCAAGCAATTCGGAGACTAACATAGACAATCGATGAAGACCACTACTAGTAACTGAAACTTTTGTGTTATTCGAAAAGGATCTGTGATGTTAGAAAATCAGAACAAAACGGCGGTAGATGATGTTATTTCGATTTAAACATACATGAAATGTCGAGAATGAATCAACTGTACACAGTTAACGAACAATAAATATTGGAAGGATTTTTAATCAAAATTAAAGGTTTTGATTTAATGTATTCACTTGACAATTATCACAGTATGGATTAAATAGTCTTGGCTGGTCCTAGATTTTCATATATCTTATGACTGAACAGCTATCTGAGAAAGACATGGCTTCCAAGAAGAAAACTCATTTCAAATTTAATACAAGTGATGTGTATGTTAGAGTGCATTTTATCTTAGACTCATTAGGCTACAGATAAAGAGGATTTTATTTTTTAAACGATCATTCCCTATTTACGGATACTTTTTCGTTCTGAATTCAATCGCTATTACATAATTTCATATACTTCTAAGATCATATTCACATTTTCCCTTAATTTGTTGGATTCATTTAACTTATTACCACAACTTGCCAAGACTATTTACATGACATCATCTTGTATTGATCTTTCAAATTTACAAAAATCATTGAGATTCAATGAATTTTAGCTTAATTTCAATACTGAATTATATGATGCTAAACCATTACCAAGCAATATTCAAAAGAAGCTTGATGATATAGGGAATGATTTATTAAATCATGCTGAACCAGGAAAAGTTTTACTTGATGAATCGAAATTTCGTTTACATTCAATTGATACAAAAATTAATAATGAAAATAATTCAATTCAACTTGTTCTTAATTTAGGTTTAACTGATTATAAATTATTTATTTGTATTCAACAACAAGATATACCACAAGAAATTCGTCAGTATATAACAGAAGATCATTTAGCACATCCTCTTGGTGTTACATGTATTCTTATAACATCTGATAATTATCTTGTTTCAATTAAACGAAGTTCTACTTGTGCTGATCTACCAAATATGTATGAATTATCTGGTGATCATGCTGAACCAAAGAATTTGAAAACATATACTAATGAAAATATCGTTAAAGAAATTATCTCATCAACTATTGATGAATATGTTAATGAAACAAATGTTGATAGAAATAGTCCTCTTATTGCTTCTGATTTTTATATTGTTGTTCTTATGCGAAGTTGAAGACATTATGGTCGACAAGCTTTTAAATTTTGTCTTAGAACAACAATGACATCAAGTGAATTAGAATAATGTTATAATTTACAAACACAAAATGAAGCATATGAAACAAATGAATTAAAATCTTGGTCTATCGCTCAAATTTTTGATCTTTTAAGTTTCTCGAATATATCAGTACCAATTAATCCAGCTGATCATGCTGCTTTAATTGCATAGATTTGTTTATTTTGTTAGAAACAATAACTCTGATCAAAATAGATCTTGTATTGATGCAATAGTATGAGTGACGAGAAATTCGTAATATATCAGAGTAACAATTTTATATCAAAAATAAAGAAAAAAGGATTCTGATCAGTGTCTATGATTGTGTAGTTAGAAAGCCTGTGTTATACTGGCCTATAGCTCTATAACTATGTTCTAGTAGATCGAGATGATCCAAGCTTGACGAGAAATAGTAATGAATTTACTAATTTCTTTGCATTTATATAAAAATCAATTAACAAAAAAGAACTGTTCATCTTACAACTCGAGTGACTGATGAAAGTTCGTGAAATTAGCAGAAAAAAGATAAAATAACATACAATTACAAACAGATATAATACTTCGTTATCAAAAACGGAATGAACAATAAGTGTACATTATTACAAAATGTGCTCGATGAATTGTGTAAAACCATTTTCCATTTATCATGACTGACTTAATCTGAAAAGGTACTAATGATGGAGGTGTTTGTGTTGTTAGTTAAAGAAATGGTTCATATTCGGGTCAAATGAAAGCTCTCACCGCCAAACTAACAAGGTTAAAATATTTGCGGCTGTTGGCTTGCCTAAAGGGAGATATTTGATTTTTACGGTACTCATGGTTTGGGTATGTAGGAACATTAGGATTATTTACATGAATTTTTTATACAATCAACTGAGTATTTCAATAGTAGACCACAAAAATCTTTCTGGAATTTATCAATAGTATTAAGATCATATTAGTTTCGATGTCTTCTGAAACTTAAGTAGTATCAATATGGATAAAGCTCAGTTATCAGTTATCAAATCTTTAACTCACCAATAGTTTCGATTTTATTTCAAACTGAAAACAATAGATTATATAATACACTATTTTAAGAATGTAGGATGTGGTTGTTGATCTTGTCTTCACCCATACCCTGTAATTGGTTTCTGAATTCAGTCGTCTCATCTTAGATTAGTGTCATTTGTTTCCAATAAGCTACAGTCTTTAGTTTTTGTCTATAACAAGTAGCTATACAGACCGCAATAAATCTGTTTCGCAGAATGCTTGATGGAAAGATTTCTATAAACTATGAAAGATGCATGTGAAAAAAAGTATTTCAAATGATATTCAGTATAGTATGTGACAATGACTGTAAAGGAAAAATTCAAGACGAAACCACTTGGAGATATTTTCTCACTGAGACAAAATATAAGTAAAGTTGAGCTTGCAGCTTGGTTGATGGCATTGTATAGCGAGCAATAAGAAGCGTGTAAAACTTTTAAGAGTTTTACAGTTCATAGATGAAAATAAAATGCTATACGAAACCGATAATAGCCGCTGTACTTTAGAAACAAACACGCTGGTATAGTGCTTTTAAGCCAACGTTCCTTTCATATTAGAATACTGTTGAGAGTCTATCTTGTGACAAGTGATGCCGATTAGTGTACTGGCAAAAAAATTCATTTATTTCGCATATGTCAATGGGCAATGTCTAGGTTATTTGTCTTCACAAAATAAAAATTCTAGATTAAAAAGTACTGTGATGAAAAACAACTGTTGTTTTTTGTCGAAATCAGACATCTTCCAAGAAGGCCTCTTTTTGAGCGACAGTTCGTAAATCAAATGCTCGATTTGTTCGAATCTTTTGACGAAATGAACTGTTTGACTGCTCTTGCCGTTGTTGGTTTTCAATCACTCTCTCATGTTGATTGTTACTCTGAGACGAACTTTTTCTGTTAATATAAATGAAAAAATGGAAAGTTTCATAAGAAAAAAACTTTTGATAACATAGCGTAATCATTAAAATGATCAGTAGAACAGTATTGGCAAGAGAGAACAACGCAACTACAGCAATAGCAATGGCCAAGAATGTCATATAGTTCGATCCTGACAATATGTGAGAAAAAATGAGACCGTTCTTTGTTCTGAAGCAAAGTCTTCGAAATTACCTGTGTATCAGACGTTGATGATACAGAGTTCGATGCTCCAGTACTTGAAGTTGAATTCGACGTCATAGCTATATTGAATAGAAAGTAAAAGATATAATATCTGTTATTGAAGAAAGGACAATTTTATGGTCAAAACGATTTGAAAAAGTTGTAATACTCGTAAAATGTCAATATAGTTTAAATATATCTAGTGTAATGATGATAAAGAGTCAAACAAAGGAATCTACGTTGTAATAATGGGACGTATAGAAGAAGGAGATAGCGAAAACATTTATTTATTTTATGTTGCGACTGATGTTCTTGCTCTCAGATAAACGAATCAAAAGAACGAGATCCTGAATATAGAATCTCAACTATAAAGTCGGAGCTTGTATTCCTATTGTTCAATCACTCACTTATCATCGCACTTGTACTACTCAATGATGCACTTATTGTCTTATTCATGATAGCTAAAGAGAGCTTATCTTATATTGTATGCTGATTTCAAAATCTACTCACTGGTCGTAGAGCTAACCGTCGTGTTCGTCGTTATCGTTGTTGGTGCTACAAGGGATAAGGCATAATATCGTTTTTATCACTCTAAAGATCTTACATATAAATGTTGAAACAGTACAATTGAAACCAAGGCCAGACGAACACGTTGCTATATCAGTATTGCACATGTTCGTAAGACAAAAGCAATAACAAGCAAAATATGTGACGTTATTAGCCATAAGAACAGGTAAGGCAAGAAGCACCTGTGTACCTGATTCAAACAAACGGTATGTCACACCGGTGTCAGTACTGAAATTTGCAGCAACATTCGGGAGTATAACATTATTGAGTTGCTGGTAAGATTCAACTAATCCGTATCCAACTGAGTAGCCATAGACATAGTATGGATCATAGTAGACAGAGCACAAAAATATTTGAAGCGAAATAGCTCGTACAATATGCTTGATGAAAACCATTCCAGTGACTATACAACGTACACATTGTGTAGGTTGAAGGTAATGCAACGTCAGCGCAACTCAATACTGTAGTGAGATTTTGAAGAATCCATGGAGCTAGAGTAGGGATGGTGTTCGTTGTTATACTCGTGTTAACCATTGCTTAACACGTCGGATAAGTGAACGTGGTGGTATTCAGGTAGTAACCAGTAGAAACACAGATTTCTGTATAATTCCAAAGCAAATAGGGTCGAGTTGAACAGATTCCATACCCGATAGGATTAGAGGGCGAAAACATTGATCCTGAACAATTTCGCGATTGCATGAGAGCTATGTACATGTTCGCCCAAGGACGAACAGTTTCTATACGCACGTCTCAAATAGGATTCGTGCTGTTCTGAGAGTATCCTAATCTCTACTATTGTATACCAGGATTGGTTGAATGTAAGGTTCCAAGCTGTTGGATTAATAGGAAAGAATGCAGATACCGTTGGAATAAGAATTAGAAGAAAGAAGTATAGAGAAAGCATCATTACTTCTTGAAAAGAGGAATCACACAAATGCACATACACGAGAATTGACGTCTCATAATATAAACAATTTCAATCTTTGATCCTTTTAAAATGTGCCCTGAGAGTAATTTTCAAAATTGTTGTTCTAGTGGCAACATTTTCTACTTACCGTTTGCGTTGGTCTGTATACACAAAGAGAATAATTTAATATAGAGTTTTCGGAGAAAAAGAATCTTGTGCTGAATGATTCGCAGAATCGAGAACATTCATAGAAACAACTTCTATTATTAAGTCAAAATTCTACAAAGCCTTTGTGCATAAATGTGAATGCGAGAGTGAATGCGGGTGTGATGTATGTTTATGTTACAGAGTCTACACTGGAACTTATTATTCACACCCACTGACGATGTGGGTGTGGGTGCGATGTATGTGTACGTGTTGCAGAATAGACCATCCAAACCCACAGCCTTACATTCACACCCATACCCACACTCACACCCCCACACCCTACACCCCACACCCTTTCTAGGCACAACTTAAGATAGCTAAAAATTTGGATTTAGAAGTTTTTGATGATGCTCTTTCGTTTGAAATAAAAATAAATAGGGATCAAATTTTTCGAGTATGGTTCTTTTAGCCAATGTTCGATATTCTCATGGGCCGTCTCTCAAAAAGCCACAGATATTACTGTGAGATAGTTCTCAAAAAGTTTACAGATATCATTTCTTGGTAGTAAAATTAGCAATTTTGTTTATTTTCCGCTTATTTAATCGAGAAACAGTTTTGAAAATATTTTGATAAACAGTAGCATTTTCAGTGTATGATGTTGGACTAGAAAGCCAACATTAAATTTAAAGTATTGTACTTCACTTCACTTTACTTGCTACAGTAAAGAGAAAGTGGCACCCCTAGATATTATTTGAATTTTATAGAAATAAATGAATATTGAAGAGAATAAAATGATTTTTTTCTCAACGATCAACAAGGAATAACTTTTTCAAAGAGAAGAAATGTTATTTGAAATTCTATCTATTTCATTAAAACAATTGAAAGATAAAATGAGTATTGATTTAAGACTAAATCTCGAAAATTGATTTGAAAAGTTTAAACAAAAGATTTATCTACTATAGAAAAACAATATAGGATTTAATCATCTTGAACAAATGCGTTTATATCTATCGAAAATTTTGTTTTGTTAACTGATAGAAGATTTTGTAAAAAGTTCTTTTTAGAATATATTTCAAATAAGAAGAACAATCGGTAAAATATTCTTTCATTTATATTGATAATCAAATATTTCACTTGAAGAATTCTTGTTTTTCTTTGTTACAGATTAAGTTTTCTGATGATAATAATAAGAGCATTAATACGTCATTAGAGAATGGATAGATGATATTTCATATCTCTTGAAACAATAAATCGGGAATAAACGTTTCTTTATTATGACATTTTTTTCATCAAATCGATTTCTTTTTTAAAGTATATTCATTAATTTCGAAATACATTAACACAAATCTATAGAAGACGATTAGATTTATTATCAATATGATTATCAAATATTGAAGATAAATAGAAAATCATCTCATTTATTTTCTTGACACTTTTTTCTCGAGAACAATAATATTTTTTTCTAAACCAAGTTCAATAAGATTTGAGAATTGATGAATCAAACAATATCATGGAAAAATAAAATTTTTTTTCTTTCAGTTGAAATTCTTTCTCCAAACAATGAATAAACTATTTTTCAAATGATAAAGCATTATTTTTCAAAACTCTCTTCAGAAAAAAATCTTTATTGGAAAGATATTTCGATTAATTATTAAATAGAATTAAAATTATTGAAGAAAGTCATAATTGAATGAAATAATATTCCAATCAATTGAATCTTAATCAGAAGAAATTAAAAAATTTTATTTAAATAAAAATGATTCTATCATCAAATAACCAAATATTATTTCAATTGAAAATTTTATTTTCATCACTGAGTCAAATATAAAAAATTATTTAAAGAAATATTTATTCAAATCGATATATTTCAATATCGATTCGAAACATTAAAATATGTAGATATGTACTATTTTTCTCGCCGAAATCACTTTTTTCAAATTAGTTTGACAATATTCAATATCGAAATTTATCTTCGATTCGATTGTTAATAGAAAAAACAAATAATTGTCTATCGTATATTCAATCAAGATTCGAAGGAATCCGTACAGATCATCGATACAATTATTGCATTGATCAATTTTATCTGTTAGTATTATTTTCTGATTATTATCGTAGATGTTCTCGGTCAATAAGCACTGAATATTATTCTATAGGGTTTATTATTATAAATAGTCGTCACAAAGCTGAAGAACAGTACTGTTTGTTCTAAGCTCCTTCGTATTTGTCAAATTAAAACAAGAAGTTTATGTTCAAGAAAATCGCTTCGTGAAAATACAAACTTCGTTTCCACAGTTTGGCGATATGCTTGTTTCGAAATAAATTTGAACTGTTGTTCAGAAATTCATCTTTCTCATTGGATGATTTATGTTGGACAAAGCAGCCGAGCTACGCGGCGCATAGAAATCAATTAGACACACAAACGAATCACAAAAAGTTCAAGATCACTCAATAGAGAAAATAGTGAACCAATCAGAGCATTAGAAGAATATAAGCAGATATATTTCCTTTCTCTTAGTACCGATGACCTCGGTTGATTATTCTCCCATGAAAATTGCCGATTAGCTGGTCATAGCAGCAAGTTCGACGGCCATTGTTGAATTCGATGATAAATAGCAACATTTCCTGAACGAACACGAAAAATATGGCGGATTATCTGAGTACATTGCCTGTCGAATTAATTGACAAGATCTTTGACAATATCTCCACTTTTGATATTCTCTCCTCTGTATCTTTTGTCAACAAACGACTTCGTTCTGTATCGCTTTTCTATTCCCGTTTACAATTCGACTTCAATTCGATAGCCAAAAAGAAGAATCAATTCGATTCATTTTGTAGTAAATTGCCCGATTTTGCGTCTCGCATTGTCTCATTGACATTTGATGATGGTATATTAGTAAACCATAAGATACAAGTTTTTTTACGTTCAATTACTTCCAACGACATGTTTCTAAATTTGCATTGGATTAGTCTCTGTCGTATCTATGCAAGTACATGGAACTCGATTAGAATTCGACTTCCATTGTTCGTATCGTTAAGATCAATGTCTATTGTTTCTGTTTATGATGGTGAGAATTCGACAGCTGCCTTGATATCACTCATTTTCAATGATCTCCTATTCAGTGTTCGATCACTCACACATCTCTATCTCAATACATCGCCTGGTTTCTCGGAGGCTACGATAAACATTACGTCTGCATCTTCAATACAAACATCGAATCTGGAATCTCTCACACTGGAAGGTATTATAATTGACTTGCATGAGCTTTTTACAGTGATACCCATGGTAAGCAAACTCAATGTATTAGCTGACCGAATTTTTCATCATGACATACTTCTTCAATCGCCTATGAATTTACGACAATTATCAATCAAGATCAAACGTTCAACCATGCTCGAAATGAAACGTTTGCTTTCGTCGATGACTTGTCTCACGCATCTTACGCTTCATATTTTTGGTGTTCTCAGTGATATGACAGATGGCAATGCTTGGATACCCTTATTAAGAAAATTAGTTGTATTCAAGTTCTTATTTAATATTATCAGTCCAGAAAAGATCAGTCTTGATTCATTTCGCACTCAATTCTGGCTCGTAGAGAAGAAATGGTATGTTACCTATGATCGATGGAGCGCGTCTTACACATCACTTCTTTATACAAACCCATACTGTGGTACATATTGGAATCGATCTTTATATGTAATGGCAAGACTTGTGACAGAATCAACTGGATTGGAGCCTACGACTTGTCCACATGTCAACTATCTCTCTATCAACAATATATCAGAAATGGACGATGTACTTTGGACTCGATTCACTCGTCTTGATCACTTAGTTATTGAAGAAAATCTGAATACTGTGTTCGAATACATCGCTACACGTCTTGATTTATCATATATAACTAGCTTTTCTTATAATCGATCGGATAATGAAACACCAAGCAATGACTTTTTACGAGTACTTCATAATTTACCACAACTACGCTCACTTAGCTTACCTGTATCGACTCTCCTCTTCCTTTTTTATCGTAAATGGCCTAAAATTGTCAATCTCAATATTATGAGTAATTATCCATTTCCATCAGAACCATTAATATCCGTCCAGATCGATTCATTTTGGCGTTCGTTTAATCGTTTGGAAACAATGTCATTTTGTCGTGAAACTATTCAAGATGTAGCACGATTATTCGATAACAGAGCAACGACACTCTCAACTGTAAAGATTCGTCACTTTCGTACTCTGAATGATGATGATCCCCGATTGATCACATATAACTGGCTTGAGAAGAACACAAAATTACGTCAATTCGACTATTTTTGTAATGATGCACGAATTGTTTTCATATGGATCTAGATTTATACTTTGTTTCACATGTAAAAAAAGCTTCAAAATTTTCCAATAATTGCTCTTGTCATGTATTTCCTTTGAAGAATGAATAAATATGCATTCGCACTTTTCCCAGCGTAATTCAGGATGTGGATGTAGTTGAACAAAAGACTATTCGTACACCGGCATCCATACCTACCCCACGCACACCCATTAATGGTATGAGAGGTTCTAACTTGAAAAAGTCGGAATATGAAATTTTTAATTTGTACGATAGAATAATTTATGATAACTAATTGACACGTATTTCGGCTTTGAGTATCCTTTTTCAAAATATCTTGAAGGTTATATAATTATTTTTATTTTCTAATAATCAATAGATATGTCTAATTTATGTTTTTGAGGCATTTTCGCTGAAAATATACGCCGTTTTGCAAGATATACATTATTAATAACAACACGAGCGAAGATTTCTCGAAAAACCATTGGAAAACCAGGAACTTTTCAAAATTATTAAATAATACTTTTCAAAAGTTTAATATTTCGAAAAATATTAATTAATAAGAGGATGGTCTTCTAATATGGTCTTCTATTCTGGGAGGGGACGCTCGTTCGAATCCAATTGAGAAAATCGAGATCCCAAAATAAGAAATGTTTTTTTTTTGATTTTTGGTATATCCTTCCTTTTAACCAAGATGAAATCCAAATAATCTTATTAATTTGTGGAATTTCTCGATAGCAGTCGAGATAATTAAAACATCGACCACGCGGCCATCTCAGCAGTGAACCCTAGAACCAAGAAGCTTTCATTAAGTCAAGAGCTACTGGTATTTTTGCAAGAATTCAGAGTTGTCTATATGAAGACATGATTTACAATATGATACATAATATACAAAGAAATAAAAGGTAAATTGCAATTTCAGAGCTTCAGTATTTCATTATTGTCGTCATTCTACACGTGCAATACTGCATGTAAACAAGCAATTGCAGAATCATGAAAATACTTGTAACACACAACAAACATAAATATCTAAGATGAAAAGAAAAATTTGAAGTATACGTATGTTCATAGTTTCACCGATGGTTGACAACATTAAACTGTCTTTTGATACATTACCAGTAGAACTATTCTACTAAATTCTTAATTATCTTGATGATTTCAATATTTTTTTTGCACTAGATCATCTTTGATGAAATAATGTGTCTAGATGATCTATTAATATTGAGCACGACATTGAGTTATCTGAAGATGTATATGATAATTATTTCTATTGATTCTAAACTAATTAAAAATTTTAAAATGAAGTTCGAATTAGTAAAACAACTTCTATTCTATTTATCTATATTAATGTTACATATGCTAAACGTCTTTTTTTATATGAAAGGAAACAAGAACATCATTTTTTTTACAATACTTATATTATCACATGACCAAAATGATTGCACAATGCATGAACAATTAGTTATTCAAACATAGTTATTTTCTTTGTGTTCATGTAAGTTATTTGTGTAATGACATCGTCATGCACGAATAGGTTGGTTTTGTCCAGTGCTCTTTTATTTACTTGTATGAAATGAAAAATATTGATAGATAATAAGATATACAAGCACATTTCCTTAGCTTTCATATTTTTTTTATAGAAAAGTAAAAAATATTATTTAATTAAAAATGAGTCTGTATATAAACTTTAAAAGAAAAGCTTAATATTATTATAAAATTAAAAACCGAGTATTATAAATGCTGCAATCATTTATTGAATGAAAATGAAAAAACTGTTTGAAAAAGTACTACGATGTCATAAATATATCTACGAAATATTAAATATTCTTTTTAAAACGAAATGAAACATTGTAAACTATGTTATTGAAGCTAATGATTTATTCAGATAACTTAATATAGTTCTTAACATTAATAGATCATCTAGACACATTATTTAACGAAATATGATCCACATCCAAAGCTATTTAATCAAAGTTTCAAATTTCTCACTTCCAATTTTCTCAAACTTATATCATTTTGACAGAAGGCATTTAAAATCATGATTAAACCATATATCAAATATAGAGTGTTTCTCTGAAGTCAGAATATGCAATGAAAATAGATCATAGTATATCCATATGTTCAAATTTCTGAGATAATGTATTGAATAGAATTCAGATATCTAAATTTTAGACACGTCATATCAAAATCAAATTAGGCTAAAATCTTTTTCATAATGACACTATATTGTCTGCTGATTGAATATGAAACTATTTTTTGTCTGAAATGACTTGTAATTTTTTCATTATATTAGATTTACTTTTTGCACTAAAAGACAAATATGGATAAAGAACAAGAAAAGAAGAATACTATTAATGAGCCATAAATAAATGATGATGCAATGAATGTTTGGGGATTAAATGATGATGAAGAAGTCAAATACTGGCATCAACATTTTGATACAGGATATTTTTTAATAAAAGAAGAACATTTATCTGAAATATCATTTTATATAGATAACAAACAAAATTTAAAATTATATATAAAATATATTAATAAGAATGCATTAAATCAATTATACTGTACTAAAGATTATCAAACTATTGGTAAAGATTTAGTTATTGATATAAAAAATAATAAAACTAAAGGAAAATATATTATATCTTATGGTCCTTGTTCACATAGTAGTGTATTTAATGAAGTTTCTGCAGAAAAAAAGAGTAATTAACAGTGATCATAGTATCGGACTAACTACATCGAATGATTTAGTCAATGAAATTGGTATTGATTTAAATGCAAAGTTTGAAAAACAATAATTAATATGATGATTTTTATTTTGTATTATAAAAATGATTTTCGTATACTAATATAGAATCAAGACTTTTGTTTTTTAATATGAAAATGTTTATTATATGATATCTAATAAATATAATCATGTATATATTGAGAACGGTGAAAAATGATGGAATAGAATAAAAAGCACTAATTTCCAAGCAAAAACAGTTTTTCGATTTTTTTCTCAAAAACTAAGATTTGTCCAGAGAAGAAGATAGCATATATGAAATCCTCAGAAAATTCAGCATCGAATGCTGTGTGCTGTTTTCTTCTAAATCATTTCAAAAAAAAAAGTGAACTGTTTTGCTATTTAATAAGAAGATCGTCCATCGTCGATTACTAAATGTGAAAACTCAATCAAGGAAGCGAAAGTAAGAAGAATGTGGGTGTCCAGGGTGTGTGGCTGTGACTCCGACTGTGAGTGAGGATCTGAGTGTGAGTGTGTTAGTGAAGATCTGAAAGACTACAACATCCACCTAGACCCACACTCGCGGATGTGACTGTAGGGTGTCATTGTTTGTGGATCAACACCACATCCATAACCTCATTAAAATGCTCTGATAGAACGATAATTAGTTGTACTCAACTATTGTCTATAGGAAGTTTTTTTTAGGAGCTCATATAAAAATTATAAACTTATTGAGCAGATGTTTCTCTTCTTCCTTGTCTCGTATCGCCAACTGATAGGTGGCAAATATGAATTATACACTGTTGGAAAGAGAAGAAAATTTCCTAACAATTGGTAAAAAACTATTCTTTTCATAACCTATTTATTGAAGAGATATAAAGAACGATATTTTGTGCGATCCTTTCATAGAAAAATTGTGGATCCTTTTTAAGGGTGCTTCTCTTTTCTGTTGCATCATTTCGTTTATGAGTGTGTTTTACACATAAGTTATATACGATTTGAAAGAGGAGAAAAAGCTCTATCTTTTGGTAACAAAAGTTTTCTTTCAGCACACTTTCTATCAAAGAGAAAAAGGGTCCAACGTTTGTCCGCTACTTTTGCGTCGTATGTTACAATGACGAACATTGATACCATTTTGTTTCGATAAGATAACTTGATCAAATATATTAGACGTATTTTATTGATTATTTGCTTAATAAAAATATTCTAACTTATGTTCCCCCGTATAAATAGTCATTGAGCTCAGTAAAACTGGTTTGACATGCGAAAAAAAAACACATCTATTATCAGTTTTTTGAAAAAAATCATGCAAAAACTGGAAAAACTATAACGACCAGTATAGAAAAAGTGATGTCTACTGGCCGATATATCCGACTGGAAAGAAATCCTTTCCCGAACCCGCTGTTTATCGTTAACGGTTGTAACACTGCCACACTCGCACCTGCATTCTTGCTCTTTGAGTTGCTTTTTTTCTCCTACGCAAAAAGTAATGGGCAGAAAATTATATTTTATGGGAAGTATGACACCAAGTACTATTTGCTCTTTTCAGTAATAGTAATTACTCACCTTCTAAATATATACTTCTTTTTTCATTCTTTTTTTCACTGAATAATAGTCGCTTATCAGTAGCGTCACTTGAAGTTGTTTTCTCTTGTTCTCTTCGCTGCTTGTACATCGAAGAACGCAAGAGAAAAATGTTCTGACTATGGCAATAGAGAATATATTTATATTTGACGTTCAACACATTATTCAGTAAAGAATATATTTTGCCCAATGAATAGTCTAAGCGTACCGTGCCTAGTAAATGTTTGCCAAAACAATGGCAAATGCTTTCTTTTACTTAATACTACGACAACAACATATTGTTTATGTAACAGGTGTTTCACAGGTAATCAATGTGAAATTGAACAATATTCCAATAATCTTTGGATCTATGGTATATCAACAGAAAATAAAAAAGATTATAATCCATACAACGAAACAATTGTGCGTAGCATACTTGGGATAATATCATTGGCAAGTAATCTATTATCATTGCAAACCTTTATATTTTCTAAAAAAATACGTATAACAAATCTTGGTGTATATCTAATATTATATTCATTAACTGGTATAAGTATGAGTATTATTCAAACTGTATTTGCATTTCTGAATTTAACTCTTAATTTTAAAAAAGCTTCAAAAATGAATCATTTAATACAATGTGCGTTTATGTATTTACTTCTAAATTCATTAAATTACTGTCTTTATTGGTTATGGCTATACATTGCAGTTGAACGTATTCTTATCGTATATTCATTTGTTAGTCTCTATGATTCAAGACGGCGTTCAATTATTTTATCCATATTACTTTACATATTAATACCATTATCAAATATACTGCCTATTTTATTTGGTCGAAAAGGCTATAGTTATGATTCATATGATTTTTTTCTACTAAACTTTACATCAATTGGTTATACATTTTATTCAATATTCAATTATATTAACTATTTGACTTCCCCACTTTCATTTGCCTTTGCGTGTGTATTTATCTTTAAATATCTCATTGAACATCGTCGTAATTTAGTCAACGACGAATCATTCCTTTCATCATTAGCTTTAATTGCATTCAAACATTATGACTTTTTTCTACCACCACTGATCTTCTGTCTACTAACCAGTCCTCATTTTATATTTGACAAACTGATGACTTGCTTACGAGCAGATTCATTGGAGGTATCACGTACACAGAGTGTAACACGATTATTAGCTGACAGTGCATTGGCAACTACATTTTTTTTCTATGTTTGCTTATCAAAAGTATATCTTCAAGAATTTTGGCGCACATCACCTTTTGGACGGTATTTTACTCATGTTAAAAAACGTATTATAGATTGTTGTAAGCCGAGTAAAGTAAAGACATATGCAATTCAACATTCGCCATCATCGTTATCGACTCATACTCATCCTCTTTCTTAGGTGAACTTCTTTAATATACATTATTTTAATAAACAAATTAAGTTTTTCACTTGAACGTTCAAAGTCCATCGAGCGCATACCCTGATCTCCTTCTCACCTATTTTTCATTTTTAATGTTCGTTCGAACATTTTAAACTTTGATGAAGAAGATTAAAGGATCATTCGTCCGTTAATTTTAAGGATTTACGGGTAATGCAGATCACTTAATCCTTTAATATTAACGATTAGCTAATCCATTAATTGTTAATAATAAAGAGAACATTTTTTTCGTTAATATTGAATGGAGTAAGTATTGGCATCGATCGGATGGATCTTCTCTCCGTCTACACGAAGACTCAAAACCCAAGTTCACAACCGAACCCATCACACCTGGTAAATAACAGTACCGCTTATAAATAAACTTTATATTCAATTATTCACGTGTAGAATTCCATCAGAATCTTGTTCCAAAACCCGCGTAATTCTTCTAAATAACAAGCTTATGAGCTCTATTTTATGAAAAAAATTATATTTCCTATAGCTGAAATACTACGGCAGAGAAGACGAGAAGTAGATGGGAGATAGTCGATAGCTGATGGGATGCGCACAAGAAACATAATATACTGCGAGAATATGTCACAGAAAAAGGTGTAAAGATCTTGAGAGCAAAAACTTCAACTAACCTTTGGGGTGTGTGGGTGGGTGTAAGACTTGTTCCCATAAACAGTCACACCCACACATGCATCATATATATTGAATTTCAATAGAACCTTCTTATCTTCCAATATTAGTACGTAATAAATGTATGTTACAAGTGAGTTGATCACCAGGGTTCGTACGATCTTCAAATGGATACACAAATGTTAGATTCACACTCTTATTCAGGAAAATGTTGACTATTGTGGTTATAAAATATTTTATTTAGGAACAGAAGCACATAAAAAGCAACAAGTTAGAAGTATTGACAAAGCAGGAATAGTGAAGTGAATGTTGAACATTTGTAGTTTTTGCGAAAAAATATTTTTGCTAATTTTGTTTTATAAAATTCTTCTTTGTATGCTAAAGATGGCGATACAAATAAAATAAAGCCAAATAATTGAGGTGAATAAGAAAGAAAGTAGGCTGATAATAGAATATATCGTTGCTATGATTGATTGAGTTCAGTGCAAGCAAGACTGAATGCAATAATAGCGTGGGGTAATGTACTGAGAAATATGATAAATGGTGTTATGAATAATTCTTTGCTTGCTTTAGATTGTTTCACAAATATTTCTCGATACGTTTGATTTGTCACAGCAAGTGCACGATGATGAGCAGTAGTTGCAATGCGAATGGAAATAGACACAAACTGAATAGAGCATGATACAAGATAATGAATGAGAACTGATATTTGATTGTAAATTAGCCATACTTGATTTGTGTAGTTTATTACACAGAGCGTAATCTGCTCATTTTTGAGATCATTAATGACGGTATAAAACAGTAATTCATGAATATGCATACTACATACCACGAGGCCAATCACTATTGAGCAGATAAAAGTCATTTTAGGTTTTTTCATTACGACATTTGTCGGATATAGAACCAGGCCGAGATGTTGTATTGTTATCCAGCTAGTTAACCAATAATTTATTCTCGTAAATATCGTGAGAAGATATGAAATAATTTTTCACAGAACAAGATCAAATGTATCATTTAAGAGCATACCAGTTGAACTCAATAGAATGTGAATGATTTTGATTAATAATGCAAATAGTGAACATTGACTAATGACAGTATTAATCAATAAAGAATTTCCTACTGCCAATTTACAAGGTGTAGGTCGTTTAAATGTTAATAGACTTAAAGCATTGTTGACAAATCCTAATAGAAACAAAAGTACGATAATGCTCAAATAAAAAACAAATGATCTTGATTTGTTTCGTTCATTTGCTACATCTTTGATTATAAGTGATTCTAGTGTGAAACTCATTACTTTCATGCTGTATTGACACAGTTGATCATAATGACAGTGTGGACATAGACAAATGAAATCAGTTGAATTC